TTTCTTCTGATTTGTTTCTACCTCTGTGATTGTCCTTTTTAGATCTCTAGGCATGCTGGGCTCTTAGGGTGTTTCCTAATGCAACTTCTTTGCATTTTTCCATTAACTCACATTTCTTCCTATGCCTTGATGTCAGTAAGATAGTAAAACTAGTCTGTACTAAGGTTTAATGACTTACAGGGAGAAGAATGCATAAAATATTCCTACAAGCTTGTTATTGGTAGCTAAAAGTTAGAACTGGTAACTACTGTATGAGAGATAAATACTGGATGGCATGATAGCAGATGTGTGTCTGTGTGTGTGTATATATATATTTATATGATACATATATCAAGTATATGTGTGTGTATATATTTATAAGGTGAATGCATGGTTTTTTATGTGTATGTATCTCAGATATAAAATTGAGTATTCCACAAGAGAAAACTATGTGATTTTTGCCAACTCTGACTGTGTAAACTAAGTGTCCTATGAGGCCAGCATGACAACTGGAAAATTGACAGGTAGAATTTGGCTAACTAACCTGAAGTATTTAGAAGAAAGAAAACTTTGTGACACTGAGTATTGAGACTCTGGTGGTAAGAGCACGTTAGGAACCAAAGTAGAAATGGCAAGGGGGCCTCACTGTAACACCCTATGGTGGGTGCTTTGATTTCTTCGTCTGTTTATGTGGAGCTGTGCAGACTACCTAAAAGCAGTCAATAATTTACAGGGCTTAAAACATCATCATGGAGTTTGAAGTAATAAAAAGAGTACTATAGAATCGAATTGAATGAAGCCACATCATCGTTATTGTGGCTAATCTTGTTATCTGTTTGGCTTTATTTTAGAGCAATGTGCAATGTGCAATATGTATTCTTTCCCCTTAAGAATGGTAAATCTACATCCTCTCAAGTATTATATTCAGGAAACTGATTTCTGGGTTAATGTCCCTCAAAAAAGTTAGGGTTTATATAGTATATGCTCTCACATGTGGAATTATGGCAGACCTGTAGAATTTCAAAGCTGGAAAGAGTCCAGCCCCTCATTTGGATGGACTAATTTACCTGCCCCAAATGACCCAGTTGGGTTGTAAAAGAGCTGTGAGGAGAAGCTAGAGTCCGCTGATCTTCAGTCTGGTATTCTTTTCACCACACTATGTGCTTAGCATAATCTCCATGCAATACTACTAAGGCTTACTAAATCACATTTTTCCTCACTTTTTATAATACTAAATTCTAGAAGATTTAACTTGATCATAAATGTTACACAGGAGACAAATGGCTTAGTTTCAGAAGCCTTGGTCGGCAAAAAGACTTTGACTTACAGACAATTTATTGGGTGGTTATTTTATTATTAGACTAATGCTTTATTTATTTATTTATGTTTGAAAAACATTTGTGGAAAATTAAGATATTAAAGCCTTGAAAAATGGCTATTGGATGTGTCCAATTACTATATTTCATAAGATTTTTAAAATGTAGAAATTTAGTAGACACATTTTGTATTGTGAATATGTATTTAGCTGATGGACTATAGCAGTTCAAATAGAATCATTTATAGCTTATTGAGTAAATAAAAGTGCTTCCATAAAGATTCACATGACACCTAGCTTTTATTTCAGGCACCTAATTTCCTTTTGAAAAACTGCCTACATTTAGATTTACGTAAGAGGCAGAACACCTCAGTGGTTTTAAAAGTAGTTTATATGACCACGGGCTTTACAGATTTAAAATACAAGATGAGGTGGTGCACACTAACTTTTAATGTTCTCTGACAAAAAGTTATTTAACTGTCCTTTACTCTCTCTGTTACATTAAAATAGTACAAAAGTATTATGTATTTCTGGATATTATTCTGGATATTTATGACAAGAAAAACAGTTCATATTTACTTGTTATTTTAACATCACATTCTCAAATCAAAGTTTCACCAGAATTGTTGCTGGCTTTTTTGTTGTTGTTGTTGTTTGAGACAGAGTCTTGCTCTGTTGCCCAGGCTGGAGTGCAGTGTGCAGTGGCACGATCTTGGCTCACTGCAACCTCCGCCTCCGGGTTCAAGCAATTCCCCTGCCTCAGCCTCCCAAATAGCTGGGATTACAGGCGCACGCCCAGCTAATTTTTGTATTTTTAGCAGAGGCGAGGTTTCACCATGTTGGCCAGTCTGGTCTCCAACTCCGGACCTCAGGTGATCCACCTGCCTCAGCCTCCCAAAGTGCTGGGATTACAGGCATGAGCCACCGCCTCCAACCGGCGACTTTTTTTTAAGCTCTTAAGTGACTTAAAATCAGACTTTACCTCATTTCATGAAAAAAGGTTTTTTTTTCTAGCAGTACAGCAGATGATCCCAGTAGCAAAAGCAGTCATTTGTTTTCCTTTATACAAAAGTAACTCTGTTTACTTTCTAGAGACTATACTTTTGGGGAATATAAGACTTAAAGGATATCTCTCTCTCTCTCTCTGTCTCTTTTTTTTCATCTCTGGAGATTTTTAGATTATTTTACATGTTTAGGACATAAGGTCAGAAAATAGTGTGCAAAAAGTGAGACTAATTTGAAATACTAGGGAAATAACACCCCATTTCAAGGTTATTTAGTCAAAAATGTTATATTAGATGAAAGGGTGCTTTCAGACAATGTAGTGGAAAGTAGACATATTAGAAAAAGTAGGATGAGAAAAGGCAAAAGAGGGACCTCTTTGTAGGGTACCAAGATCTGTAGAATATTAAAGAGAAATGAGCAGTTAGTAGAGACTTTCCCTAAAGGACTGCCTTCCTAACTTTGTAATGTGTTAGGTTGATGGATTCACAAGATCAAAAAGGTAAACTTTAAGTACAGCATATACGTTTGAGTAAATTATGCATATCACTAATATTGTCATAACAGGAATGGTTGGTCAATTTGGCATAGTCACCTTTCTCTAAACATCAAGAAGAAAATACCCCCAGCAGATATCTGACCTTCCTTGGACTGATTCTGCACACCACTCTATTTTCCATACATAGTTTTCTTAGACCAGAACTTGAAGTACAAAAATATATCAAAAAAAACTTTTGAAGTCTTTTCTGACAGTATCTATTATAATAGAGAATACTATGGCTATAACTATGTTTATTAAGAAGAAAATCAGGCCCCAGCATTTCCTGCTCTTCCAGCATTCCCCTAACCCCCAGGCCTGGCAGAATGAGAACTTAGTAGATGGCACTGTAATGTTTATAGCTACAAAGTCAATCCAGTAATGACACTGCTAAAAAATGATTGTAGCAGCAGTAAAAACGCAGCTGTGTGCACCTCTAGCCTCTGATGTAATGAGATGCCTCTGTTCAGGTTCTGAACTGAGATGATCAGGCCCAGCATTAAGGTTCTGCAAGCAAAACCTCATTAATACTACGAATCAGGGTCAACACATGATTTTGGAAGTTGTTTTCCTTCCATTGGGAAACCTTGTCCTTAGTAGAGCTATTTCAAGTGACCATTTTAGGTGTTTCCTAACTTCCAGTATAAAAAGAGATGATTTCCGTCAGCTATAGGCCTGCAGTAGAGTATCAAGAAATCAAAAGAACAAAGATCAAAGAAAATTGCTGACCTAGGTGTTAGATGCAGATATTGATTTTTTCTCCAGTTGTAGTTTTAAAAAAATCCACAAAAATGGTAACACATACAACAGTTGAATTTCTAATACTTTCCTAAAGCCAGTGATAGCTTCCCTCTTGTTTTTACATGTAGAAACAGTTTTGTATAACATGACATAATAAAGTAGACCTTATAGTTTACATTATTTTGTTATCAAAACTGTAAGGGGATCTACTAGAAAGTTTAAAAAAACCTTGCAATATAGAGTATGATTTTTAGTGGAGATACTTATAATCAGACTTGTTATTTCAGCAGCATTTATTTTGTGGGAATCTGGAAAATTATGTCATAAAATTGATCACTATTTTCCTGCCATCTTTAAATGTCATAAAATAATGCTTACCTGCTTTACTGCTAAGACTTCTTCATGTTAAATATTAACTACCGGATACTGATGTCACTTAAGGCTTAAATGAGTAGCTTTATCAAAATGTTAATTCTGTTGTCCAGTATTTCATGACTGTGTGGCATTCTTAAGTTTAATTTCCAACAGTTTCTGGATACCATCAGTGTTCTCAAATATATGACAAATTATTCATTCCCTTATTTTGACACATGATTTCTAAATACTTATAATAGTCTTTATCAAAACACGGTGGTATCATGGACATAAAGATGGAAACAATAGACACTGAGCACCAGGGACTATGAGAGTGGGAGAGGGTTGAAGAACTACCTCTCGGGGACTGTGCTCACCACCTGGCTGATGGGATCATTTGTACACCATACCTCAGTGACTTAAATCAGTAATTACCCATGTAACAAATCTGCACATGTACCCCCAAACCTAAAGTAATAAAGCTGAAAGAAAAAACAGGGTGGTGGCATTATTATTAAAGTAAACCCAAAGAGTTCTCAGTAGAATTTTGTATCTTAATATGCCATTTTCTAGAGGTCACTGGGATTGGCTTATTTTTCTTTGTGCTACTTTTGTCAAGTAAGTAAAACAGATAGGTTTAAAAAACATAAATACTCATAGTTTATTTTCTAAGCAATCTAATCTTCCATATTATATGGCACTTATTATATAGCATAATTAAATAAATGCTATTAGCATCGGTTTCTGTAAATTGCCTGTGAAGTCAAGGTAAAAATCCCTGATTGTATTGACTCTTTGACATGATAACTTTATAAAGAGTTTTACACAAAGATTTAGTGTTTAGATAAATTCCTGTTGTCTAGAAAAGTCATAAAAGAGCAAATAAGGGATTCAGTCACACTTGGAAAAAAATTTACTATTTATATATTCTCATATAGATTATTGAAATAGTAATTTCCATCTCATTTTGTATTTTAATGATTATTAGTCTACTTGCCTGTTTATGGTTTTAGGCTCTGTTTGAGAGTTTTCAACTCTATGCTTATTATTTTTTTCTTTTGTATGTCACAGATAGGATCACGAGACCATTCAAATCTCTCCATTCCTTCAAGAGCTCCTCTTCCTGCTGACACAACTGGTATTGGGGATTTCTTACCATTGAAAGCTGAACTTGATACAACTTACACTTTCTTAAAGGAGACATTTATAAATACTGTTCCCCATGCTCTGACATCATCTCACTCCTCTCCAGTGACTATGTCTGCTAATGCCAACAGACCAACTCAGATTGGATTATGACTTCATGAAATTTAAAAATGGAGGAAGAGTTAACAGTACAATTAAAATTGTTTTGAATGGGAATTTTCTTATCAGTTGACTTTTGTTTCAGCAGAAGTGGCGGTGGATTTAAAAAATTTGTGCGATATCTTGATGTATTCTGGTAGCTCTGTCTCCTTGAATAAGAAAATAGCCAACTTTTTTCTCTCCAAGTTTTATTTATTATCACAGTTGCTCATTTTTATGTAACATATTTTTAAATGTTAAGGAATGACACATTTTGGGTAATTTTCCTCAGACTTAAAAAAATCAATAAGCCATTTTAGTCTCTATCTATCAAAGTTGTTTCATACTTGTCTATTTTAAAGCAGGACTGCAATGCTTTAATAGGATTGAGAGAGCTATTTGAAATGTATGCCAATGATTCCTGTCATTTCATGGCAGCCCGGCCATGGTTCACTGAGCCCCCTCTTCTCTCTTGTCAGCTCAACTGAAGACAAGCATTTAGTTGCAAACTTTAAGCAGGTTGTGCAAAACAGAAATGATGTGACTGCTTCTCCTCCTGCACAATAATGTCACTCCTGGTCAATGTGAGAAGGTCAGGTTGCTCCTTGTAAAGCTACATGATACCACTTGCCCATTTGAACAAGTTAAGTTAACTGCTGAATCTGGTCCCTGAAGGCATTGAAAACTCATTCTTTTAGCAAGTCTGCATTTGATAAGAAAGTAGAGCAATTGTGCTGGAGGATTTCTGTGGTATGTTTAGGCACTTCATAAGGACAGTTCCCACACCAGAATAGCAGGTAATACATTTAGTATAAGCGAAAAACTTCAAGGTAATGGCTGTTTTGACCTTCAAAATAGGCTCCTTTTTTGTTTTTGTTGTTGGTAGGACCCAAGAGTGACGCCCATCTTTGATGCTGACAGAATTTAAAACAAGGCCATTGCCCTGCATTTTCTGCCTTGTAGCACACAAAAGTAAAATTGTATGTCAGGCCGAGATGTCGGGGAGCTGACAAGATGCCCCAGTGACATTTCAGCTAGAAAGAGCAAGTGTCTTGCAACCAAGTGGTCAAATATCAAATAATAGGTCAAGCAGGAAGGAGCTGAGTTCTAACCACAAAGAGGTTTCTGGTAACTTACTTGACAAGCTTTTGGGTGCTTTGTGGCTTGACAAAGTGATGTTCTGTTGGGTGTCGCTAGACAGACTGTTCTTTATCGCCTTCAGAAGATCAGACATTGACATTGATTAAACTCTTTAACCCTTAAAGGTTAAACCCTTGCAGTTTGCATCATGGTAAGTGAAGAACAAAAGAATATTTGTAGTAAGAATTTGTTTTTGTATTAATCATTTAACTCCCTAGTGCTATTAACTTCTGATATGAACTATAGCTTTTGACAAAGAGTTTTGATACAGAATCTATTTTTTATATTATTTTTCATTATGGAATCTTTCATTATAGATACATTAGAATATAACAGTATGTATTACGGAAGTTTTTTTGTCTTATCTTTACAGTGACATTTGATTCAAATATACCCAACTGCTGAGAATTTTTTTATTGGCCTTGGTAAATAAGATTTTATACTAACTATTTGTTAGTAGCCAAATTAGCCAAGTGATTTATGCCATCTGAGGGAACACAGCAGTATTACTGTCGTATTATGTAACACATCCTATTCTTGTAATACCGAACCACTATAATTAGCTTTATATAAAATTTTAGAAAGCTTATGTGGAGTAAAATTATATCTTTAACCAAATTTCTCTTAATTCTTTCCTTGGAATTATTTTTAATATGACCTGTGTAACATGACCTGTATGAAATTCAACTTGCAAATTTACTATAACATGGAAAGTGCTATTTATTTTTTTTATACAGATCGTATAATTTCTGCACTTTTCAGAACACCTTTCTCTGCTGTTCCACACAATGATTAGGATATTGTTCATTTAGAAATTGATAGACAATTTTTTAGTTCATGTGATATCATTAAGCTTACAATTCTCACTAGAGAAAAACAATGTTACTATATGTAACCTCTATGTCTAAGTGTTTGTGTGTGTGTATGTTTGTGTTGAATCTGTTTTCAGATCCTACTGATTTTAGAGGAACAACACTTTTGTAAAATGTGCCTTGGAAAGGCCTTGGTCTTCTTGCCTTAAATTTATAATCTGTTAATGGGATAACTCCAAAAATAAATGTGTATGTGTCTTCATATATATGAGTATCTGACTTTACAGGTACATTTTGTACCGTGAATTCTGAACCATAAATTCAAAATTCATAAATTATGATTAAATCAAATCAAAGCATGTCACATTTATAAGCAACTAGATGCTAAAGGCCATAGAAACTGAAGGATGAACCTCCTGAGCGATCATTAGTATTCACTACCAAATATAGTAATATTTATACCATATGCTTTTTTCCCAGAAGTCAGACCCAGCAGGAGGAGAAGATTTAATGACATATCCTATGGAGATCTGAGAAACTCTAGACTGCTTCTAAGCACCTTAGTGACCAATTGCTGCATATTTGAGATCTCTGTTGTGTTGGCAAGGACAGTTGCTCTATCAGCTTCTTTATCTTTTAAAGAATGATGTATAGAGTAGACATATCTCAGGAGAATGACTTCAAATATTTTAGTAGAGGAAAGGAAATTTTACTTTACACTTCAGAATGTGGATTTTCTTACTGACCTTCTGTGATCTAGAAAAACACCTATAATACCCATCGCTATTAATTCTTAAAGTTATTGTTCTGATACCTGAGTCACACTTACAAGTTGAGGAGTTGCCAACATTTTTAATACATGTATTTTGAAATGATGTAATATAAAAACAAAGAGGTTTAAGATTGCAAAAATTGCCAGTTCAGTGATACTTTAATGACATAAATAAATAACCTTTTAAATAGAATGATCACTTTAATTTACCAAATATCTGACTCTTATTAAACTTAGCAACTCTATTTCCTATTTCACATTTATGATATATGCTATTATTGAATGTTTAATGAGACTATTACTAGTTCCATGTTACTTTATTTACCAGTTGTCTAAATTCATTCTGTAGACCACACCGAACAATAGTAGGTTGATCCTACTTCACTGTGCACTTATTCTTTTTTTAAGAGATGGGCTCTCGCAGTGTTGCCCAGGCCGGTCTTGAACTCCTGGGCTCAAGTGATCCTCCCACCTCAGCCTCCTGAGTACTAGGGACTACAGATACGTACCACTGTGCCCTCACTGTGCACTTTTTACAGAAAAGTTTTCTAATATAAAAGGTGGAAGATAGTTAATATTTACCGAGCAACTGTTTTATGCCAGTTATTATAGCAAAACTAATGATCTCACAACAAACCTCTAGCATGGGTATTTGCCTCCCCATTTTAGACATGAATAACTGAGGATCAAAAATGTTAAGCATCTGGCTACCAAAGATCATACATAACCTAGGAATTAGTAAGCCTAGAGCTGCAGTTCCAAAGCCCACATTATTTTGAAACACTGCCAGTCCAGCCTTCCAGAAATAATTAATACTTTTTAAAGAGAAAAAAGAATTTTTTTTAATTGTCCTGACCAGTTAGGAATAATTTTGATAAGTATGTTTTCATTTGAAATCTAGATTTCTTATGAATTGATTAGACAAAACAAAATACATGCATACTAGCACTATGTATGTAAATAGTAACTGTGAAGTTTGTGTCTATCTTTCAAAGGAAACACCACGCTGACTGTGTTGCCCATTGTTTCTAGCTTGGCCCACAAGATCACACAGATACTCTCAGAAGCAGAGTCTCTGTTGAGAGGTACTGATGGTAAGTCAGCCTGGCCATGCTATTACTTCCCAATGGAAAATAATGCCATATGCCAAATAAAGCTGATCAATAAAGCATTCACTTGTGTAACTCCTAGGATAAAGATTTAAAAATATATTTTCTGGACTAGCATAGTAGGCTGAATAATGGCCCTACAAGATGTCCATATACTAATCACTGGAACCTGTGAATGTTACCGTCTATGGCAAAGGGATTTTCCAGGTGTGGTTAAGTTAAGGATCTTGAGATGAGGAGATTATCCTGGCTTAGATGGGTGTGCTGTAAATGCAACAGGAGGTATCTTTGTAAGAGAGGGAGGTGCAGGGGTTGGTTGATATGATGATGGAAGCCGAGGTTGAAGTGATGTGCTCTGAAGATGGATGCAGAGTCCAGACCTAAGGCTTTCAGGGGGTACTAGAAGCAGAAAGAGGCAAGGAAATGGATTCTCCTCTCAGAGCCTCCAGGATTATAAGAAAATACATTTGTGCTACTTTAAGCCACAAGTTTGTGGTAATTTGTGGCAATATGTCATAGTCACCAAAGGAAACTAATACACCAGTAAACTTTTAGTAATTTTTTGAAAAGATTAATACATTAATCTTTTAATATTAGCAAACAGAGAAAGTGTTCTTTCTTTTAAATTATCCATAATAGTTGCCTTCATAACTTGAAATTTCAAATTCTTTTCGGTTTCCATTTTATATTCATGGCTTCTGAATATAATAAACAGTGATTATATTGGGGCAGCATAGAGTCACACTCTATTGCCATCATTTTTGATAATTCTTCAATTAACCTGTGATTTCAATATATATTTTAATTCTTACAGTTTTAAAAAGATGCCTTAAATGTATTAAACTTTTCTTAAAGATCTACTTTAAATGATTGTTTTTATTTGATTCCATTTTGGTTGGTGTATTTTAGCAGCTTTCTTCCAAAAGAAATTGAATCTTGAATGAATTTGTATTAATCACAGCTTAAAATAACAATAGGGAATTTATGAATTATATATTTAAATGTGCCAGAGCATTTTCTTTTGCTGTTTACTCATGAGTTCAATATGTTGCTGGTCATTTCTCCCTGCCTTTTGTAATAATTGAAGCGAGAGAATTTTAATAATTTTATTCAACAAGGAAATCTTCTAAAATTTTTACAATATAATATTTGAATCCATTTTGTCTTTACTTTGGTGAAATCATATAGTTTTTCCTGATGGTTTAGTTTAATGGGAGAAAGGAGGCAATTTTAATTGAAATGACTAAGTGTTAAATGTGATCAAACCTAAAATATTGAAGATTTAAACCTAGAGTGTTAAATAGTTCAAGTACAGCCAAGCAAAGAAAAGAAAAATAAAGCCTCTGGTTCTGTAAGGAACCCCTCCATTCCTCCAGTCCTCTTGGTTAAGTGAGACATAAATGTGTAAATTTACATATTAGAAGAGCTCCATCTTTTTTCTTTTACTTTAGCAATTTTATTACAAGACTCTTTTTTGGCTGTAGAATGTGTCGATTGACATATCCAGATATCAGATGTCCTGTTAGTCATATTGTGGGTGCCTACGTATTTTTTCTGAACCTCCCCCTGCATTAATCTTTTCTAGTTGTTGTTTTAAACAAATTGGAATCTAAAGGTCTCCCTAACTGTATCTTGTGGGCAAATTACATTTCCATGGACATTGCGATGGGAAAATGTGTTCTTACTCTTTGCAGTAGTGATACCTAATTGATATCACATACTCTAAGTTGTAAAATCTCTGAATACGGTATGGGAAGGAGATAAATCAAAACGGAGTTTTGCTGCTTCCTCTAAATCATCTTCTGTGTAGGTGTGATGGATGCTTAGGCATATGTTTTTAAAGCACTGACCTTAATGTTAGGCAGCAGAAGCCCCATAACATATAAAGCTTTGAAAACTACTGGGTTAATATTATCTGAAGACAGTTTTTTTGGTGTGGTTTAATTGAGTCATGGTTCATTGTCTTTTATTGCATGTTAATGCCAGTGAAATGCTGATTGTTGACAGAGTCCTCCCAGTGAAGCAGCTCCAAAAATATTGTGCAGCTATAGGAAACTACGTAAAATAGGAAGGCTTATTTAGATCTGAAGAAGACTCATCTGACAGGTTAAGAGCTATCAGATATTCATAAATATTCACCATGACAAGAATATAAGGTGAGCTGTCTTCAGTAGATCCCTTCTGTGTTTTGGGTATCTATATAAGAGGAAAATCTTAAATGTGATCTAGGATGAATGGAATTGTATTGGATGCCTAGTAAAAAGAAGAGTAAGATTAATAATTACAGGTTATCTAATAGGACATCTCATTTTTGCCTTTTTCTTCAAACAGTAAGCAAAATACATTTTTTTTTTTCTAAGTTTACTTCTGGTTTAAAAGTAGGAGGCTTAGGCAGTAAAAGTGCACATAGAAAGCTTTGGAAAATAGACACTCCCTGCAAATCATTTAGGACCTGAGGTTTAAAGACATCAGTTCATTCTGGTGACTTTAATGTACAACTGACTATTGAACTCTTTGTAAATGGTTCTATGGTTACAGAAGCACCACTTCAGTTTTCCTTGGGCTGAGGAGTATTAGTCTAAATATGTGCTCTGAAGACTATTTAGAGAGATTCCTGTGAAGCAGAGTTCTCATTCATGATCACAATTAAAATGCTTTCTAATAACAAATGGTGGCAGGGTTCTTAATCAAGTGTTCATGGGTCCAAGAGGGCACAAACTACATCATAATGTGTGTGACTGGTGCACAAGAGGTGGGGCTACACAGAACAGTCCTGGCACGTGGAGGTCATCATCAGCTTCAGCATCCTACTTGGGCTTTTTGCTGTCTTTAATCTGTGGGGAGGCAGAATCCCTGTTCTTCTTAAGAGACAATTTTGAGGAAGTCCAACATTGATTTTCCTGAATATGAAGTTAATCAGAGTAGAAACCCTGTATTACTGTATCTCTAAATAGCTTTCAAAATTGGCAATCACCCTTTGACTAGATTTATCTACTTCACAACAATTCAGATAAAAATTCAAACACCTAGGTAAGAGCACATACGTATATATTTTTTAAAAACTACAGCTTTATTAAAATATAATTCACATAACATACAATGCATCCTTTTAAAATGTACAATCCACAGTTTTTCACATATTTCACAAAGATGAACAATTATCACCATCTAATTCCAGAACATTTGTATTACCCCAAAGAGAAGTTCTGTACCCATTGGCAATCACTTTCCATTCCCCAATCCTCTATCCCCTGGTGACCATAATCTACTTTCTATCTCTATGGATTTGCCTATTTTTGTATATGTCATGTAAATAGAACAATATGTATTGCCATTTCTATCTGGCTTCCTTCATTGAGACTGATGTTTTCCAGGTTTGTTCATA